CAACATGGAGTGGTCAATTTTGTTACCTTGAGCAGGATCTTGATGTTCGCTGTACACCTACAGCTGACATGGTATTTCCCAATACTATGGGAAATCACTGCCTGTTTCACCCTTGTCAGTTGTAGGGATTCCTTCCTCTGGAAAGGGAGAAGCCAAAAATATTTAATTGAGGTACAGGCAGACAAAGGCTGGTAAAGCAGAATTATTGCCCCATTTCACCCTGAGAATGCGTGCAAGCCTGGTCCTCTCCCCAGTGCAGAACTGCACATGAGTCCTGCTGTAGAACTGGGAATGAAACCTTGGGTTACTAGAAACTCATCCTTCCCCTTGCATCTTCAGGTTGCTGATGTTACCATGTGCCATTGTTCTCTGGTAAACCCAAGCCCAGCCTTATCCTAAAAAATGTAGGTATTAAAGCTCTGAGTTGAAAGTGTAAATTTTAAAATGCCAAAATAAAGCTGCTTTTGCAATTTTGATAGATTGGCAAGTTGTAAGCAATTGAAACCTGCATCTTATAATGGGAAATGTTGATCATCTCTAGTTGCAGTAATTGTAAACTGGATTGTATATGATCCCTTGTAAGAATAACAGTAGTGGGGTTAAAGAACAAATCTACAGTGGTCTCTTTTTTCTGGTGATAGAAAAATCCTGCTGGTTTCCAGAATTATGCCCATGGAGTCTGTGCAAGGACTGAACCACCAGAAATGGCATGCTCATCCTTTTCTCATTCTCAGGACTTCTGTAGCTACAGCAGCATTTATAGCTGCTTTCTGACCCTTGCTGGAGAGGCTCATTCTCTTTGCTGTGCCCGGGAGTTTTCGGTACTTGCTCAGTGTGAGATTTAGGAGTTTTTTCTTTGGCAATTTTCCTTTGTTAAATCCTGAGGACTCTGGCACTCAATAATTATGTAATTTATTTATGTTCACTTTGGGTTTCCTCCATGGAAAATTCAAAGATGCTCTCACTAACATGCCTTGCCCTCTTGGAATTGTGTCTAATGAAACTTCTCTCCCACTGGGATCTCTGGTACAGCCACATCCAAGAGATGCTTGCTTCAGTTTTGTTGCTCTCTTGTAAAGCTGTTCTGTGTTTCTGCAGGTAGTGCTCTCGTTCGGGCTGCAGAAATATTGCTTGTATTGTCCTCTTTGCTAAATATCCTTGAGCACACAGAGTTTAGCAAAGATTTCTCTAGCCCTGTGCAGGCTGCTGCTACTTTCACACTATGTGGCTACTCTTGTTGAGTCAGATTTATACATTCAAATTGTTACAAGTCTTTTAGAGCTTCAACCTGCATTGGATCTGGTCCTTCATTTGTGAAGCCTGAAAGAGTGAGCTGCAGATGTCCTTCCTGTGGGATCCAGCAGCTTTGCAGGTTCCCTCCAAAGCATGTAACTTCATGCACACATCAAAAGGAGTTGCCTTGGAAACGGAACCTCTGAGCCTTCATTTAATTTCAGAGGAGCAGAAGGTCATATGCCGAGTCAGCAGAGCTCTGTGTCAGGTACTAACAGCGGGGGGAGACTTAGTAAGGCCAAAGGTACTTTTGTTTCCAAATGTCAGGAAAATTGCAAGTCATGTGAGAAGCAAATGATAAATTTCCTTGTTGAAGATAACAGCTGAACCAAGTGCTTTTGCTTTCATAAGGGATGAGGAATCAGTTTGCCAAAAAACTCCAATGTCTGCACCTCTTTAATCATGCTGCTATCTTTGATGACATTATCATCAGTGTGGTCATGGGGACATGTCCTTATGTCCCTAACAGCAAATGAGAGATGTAGCCTTGTACATCTCCAGCCCAGTGTAGCTGTGAAGAATTACATTGGGACTAAGGAACAGTCACAAAAATTGGACCATGCTTTTGACAGGTCTAAACACTGCTGCTCCACAAAACATTTAACCCCACAGCTCAGCATGGAGAGGTGTAACCTCACTTCCATAATTTATTTTTCCTGCCTTTCAGTGATTTATTTTGTGTATCTGATAGCAAGTGGGACTGTTAAAACTCTGCTCAATTAAATACAGCTACTTAGAAGGTGAGCATACTGCTACTGCATAGAGCCAATAGAGAGACCTTGTCGGTGGCTGACTAAGGTGCAGGTGGTCAGGTCTGTGCTGATGGTGTGAGGAAGGGGGCATCTGGTTGTTATGTCATGAGATCCTGCTTACAACTGCCTCTGTATGCAGAGAGGCAGCAACTCCATGTGGCAGTGGCAAGCACAAGTGGACAGTCTAGCTGTTTGAGGTTGGTCCAAAGGGATCAAGAGCACTCAGCCATCCAGCAGCACTGTGCAGAGAGTGAAGATCCCAACTGTCTCCTGTCCTTTTTAGGCATTCTGCTCTAGCTTTTATTGTTCTTAGAGGAGAATTAGAGAGAAGTGATTTGAAGGCCATAACTAAGCTGTATATGCACAAATAAACCAGCAGGAGAAATATGCACAAATAAACCAGGAGGAGAAAAGTGTTAAGGGGGAGAGTACTCTTAATGTCTTCTCAGTCTGCTGACTCACACCTACCTGTCTAGTTGAACTAGAGCATTGGCATCACACTTCAATTACTGTTCTCCAAAATCCAGATAGCTTATGTGTGACTCCCTGCCCTGGACCAGACGAGATGGAAGAAATAGAGGGGAAAAGAGACTGGCTTGGAGCCATCTGTCTATCAGTTTACTCATATTTCATTTGGCCTTCAATTTGGTATTGGCCTAGCCCTCTGCCTGCAGTTGCTTATGATGCCTGTTGTCCTGCTTAACAAACAGTAGTGAGTATGGTTACCATTTAATCTACCACTGTTCATCTGACACTATTTCTGATGAAGAGTAATTTCCTACCCTATAATTTTCTGATTCTCCATGTGGATTGGCAAATATAGAAAGAAGATCTGGGTTTCAGTTCTGTAATGGGCAAATATAAAAACAGATTTTGAAGAAAGCAGGCAAGCTTGAAACCTTAAGAGCAGGCAGTGAAGTTGTGGTTAACAGTCTGTGCTTTACAAAGTCCTTAACAAATAGGATGTTGCTCACCACCTACCACCATTACATCATGGGTTGATGGAGTTTGTCGAATCTGGGCAGACCATTTTATTCAAAACTACTTTGCTATGAAACAGACAGGTTTCTAGGTCATGTTATCCCTGAGGGGTAACTAGTGAGATGAGAAATGGTTTTGACGAGAGAACAGGCAGAGACTGTTAGTGACTGCATATTGGTTCTCCTGACACTGGCTCTTGACTCAGCTGTGACATTTAAAATGAAAAACCGGAAAATCCCGAGACAGAATGGCAGCCGTAATCACTTTAGATACAGTACAAAGAGGACTGGAAGAAGTCAGTATGTTGTTGTGTTACTCTCATGTTAGGGCTAATTAGAAGAACAAAGGATTGAATGTTCCTGTTCACTCAAAGCCCTTGTTTACTGCCCTACCAGCTGCTGCACTCTTGTCTCCCTTCTTTCTTGATACAACCATGACTGAAGAAGCAAGTTTCCCCATGGCGAATGTGTGCAAGTTTCTCTCACACTGCATCTTCAAGTTGTGTTGTGCAAATCCATGTTGTTCCTGACTGCCTCTTCAGTTCAGGCCAGTCCTGCCTGTCAGGGTAGGTTATGCCTGTTCCTCCACAGCCATTGTGTGATTGCTGTCAGGAGCCCTCCATGCAAAATCGTTCCTGGCATGAAGCATACATGGCTCTGAGGATTCTGCTCTATTTGAATAGGCATGGGACTTTCTGTAGCAATGTGAAAACTTACATGCTGGGTACAACAGAGTCTTAGTAACCTTACTATACCAACAAGAGAATGAAAAGGAGCTTTAGGGTAACTGTGTACTAGGCTCTCTTAACTGGGGAAAGAAAAACCTGTTTGTACAGAGCAGTGTCTCAAGGTTTGCAAAACCTCTGCATGTCCTCATAATCAGGTTGATGTTAAGTGGGAGATGTGTAAGAAAAATCCTCCTGGAGGTGATCATTATTTATAGTTCCTTAGGTGCTGTTGCCAGAACAGCCCTATTAGGCAGCTACTGTATGCAAAAAGGGTCACTTTCTGACAGCCTGAACTACACGCAGTGCTGCTGTGTTCGGGGCATGAGAGGCTTCTGCAAGGCCAGCTTGACGCCTTGTTATTTCTTCTAAGTTTTGCTTTGACGGTCCTAGATAAATGTACAGACTTCTGATTACCATTTTCTTTCATTTGCAAAGCCAAGGGATGTGAGAGTACACTCTGCTAGTTCTTAAAAAATAGTATCAGCACTATTTTTGTTTATAGTAGCAAGGTTGGTTTTCCCCCTTCCCAATTTTTAATGAGACAAGCTTATGTAGCACAAAAATCATACTTGGAAAGCATTTTAATTCAGCTTGATTGGAGTATGATGAAGATCTTAAACTTATGTGTGTAGACAGAACTGGAAGAAAAAATTATCCAGTAGCATTATCTTTTAATGGCTGTTTCTATTTTTGTCCTGAATTCATTTGCTTAGAATAATAGCTGAAGTCTTATGCAGTATGTGGAGAAAGAATCACTGATGGTTCAGTTAGCAGACAAAGGGATAAATAGTCTAAATTTCATGGAGACTGTTAGATGAATTTATTTAATGCCAAATCAACATTTTGTTTGTTTTTAGCTAGGAATAATTAAGCAGGATTGGTGCCTAACAAGTTACCATCAATCTAAAGTGAACCACAGGCAGAATAGATGAGTTCACACTGAACAAAGAAGCAACATTACTGTTGCCAAGTATCTTGATTATCTCAAGATATCTCAAGATAATCAGTTATTCATCTTCTGAGGTATTATTCTGTGTTTCAGAGCTTAAAACGTTTAGTGCAGCAATTTAGGCTGAATACTCATGATAATAAGGACAAGGATCTGAACCTCTTTGTCTACAGGATGCATTGAAAGTAAGGTTTTTGTGTTGCTTATGAAATATGTATACAGTGGGGGGATATTGAATTTTTATTGGGTTTTGGTATATTTACAATCATTTATTTTCTTTTTCACTCTGCAGATAACCCTGCATCTGATGTATGAAACTTAGGTGGGCTTTTAAAAGATTTTGGGCTAAATAGCAGATTGAAGAAGCTACAAGGTAAAATCTGTCTTCTGGTGGTTTTGGGTACATTTACATGGTCTCATAAAACAAGTGCTGTCTGTATGTGCAGCTGTAATAAAGCCTTCAGGTTGGATTTTCATTGGTCAGGTATATTATTTGATGCTCTGAAGATGAGCTTCAATGATTAGTTTCTTTTCCTCTTCTCTATCTCATGCAGAGATCATTTTTTGTTACTTATCCAGCACAGTCTTCTGTTTATTTGATAATGCAGCTGCTGGTATTTGCTCCATGAAACCAATTGTCTTCTGAAGGTAAGTGCCTTATGCTGGTTGTTTGTATAATGACAGTTTTCCTGCACACTTATACCCAGGTTCATAAATGCATGCTGTTCAGAGCTTCCTACTGTAGTCATTTGCAAAGGAAAAATAAAACCAGGCCAGGCAAAGCTCTCTACAAGTTGTGAGTAGAGCTTATCCATGTAATGAGATCACTTTGAAATGGATGCTACTGAAAAATGCATGGTGTGTAACTAGCTGCCATTTCCAAATGTCACAGAATTCTTTGCCCTTAGAGAGGGACAGCAAAGAGGGGATCAGGTTAGCTTTAAATGTAATATGGCTTGCTCTCGTGGTATATCCAGGCTTAGACTCAGAAAGAGGAAATGGATTTGATTCTGTAAGTCAGTTTTTTATTAATCTTGCAAGATTTCTAATGATTTGGGTAAATTGTTTAATATACATTTGTGTATTTTTTTCAGCCTGTATCTTTTAGTAGATCTTACTTTTCTTAATGGATTGCTGAATAGCAACTGAACCAGCTGTAATAAAGTGAGCCATGAGTTTCATCTAAAATATATTGGCTTACCATCTTGTGTCAAGGCAAGAAATGAGCCTGATTTTAAAGATGTGCGTATTATGAAGAACTAGAAGGAGATAGGATGAAAGCTCACAGGGCGGGTGTGGGGGGATAGGGTTGGTATGGAGGGACCCAAGAGTAAAACCAAGGGATCAGAGGAGAAGATAGAAATTAAATTAACCCTCTGAACTACCATTGTCAGTTAATCATTACACAAATCACCAATTCCACTGAAAATTAATTCACTAAAACATAAAATAGAAATACTTCTATCTCATTGAACAAAGCCTATTTACAAATCAACTGGAGTTGTGCAGAATTGAACCTTCCAACTCTTTTCTGCAGCAAACACCAAAAAAGCATCCCATGGCTTTCAAGTGTAAGAAGTGCAGTTGCTTTGATGGTATCACACAGGTACACTCCCTTGATCAACATATTAAACAAAGATGTGCCACCTTTTCTTTGCATTGGCATGCTCAACAAACCAGTAAGTACCAGTGATGTATCCTTAGATACAATATGCATACAATAACCTAAAATACATCTTTCCTGATATCTGCCTAAGAGGCCTATTCTTAATAACCTTTCCCTATTCCAAGAAATTTCCAATGGCTGTGTACGGCAAGCTGAGCAAAGTGTTCATCTTAGTTTATCAGTACTAGGAAAGTGTTATGTTTCCTGTCTCAGCAGACAGCGTGAGGAGTTAGTCCTTTGCTTCTGGTTGTTCCTTCACTTTGTCAAGCCATTTCTGCCTATTGAAGAAGAGATGAAAAATCCTAGTTTGCAGGAGAATTTTTTGTTCCTATATAGGCCTTATCTGGGGAAGAACTTCCCAAGTGCAAAACAGCTTGGAGATCTGCCCGGCCCTTCTGCTTTAGAAATATCTCATAATATTGTCTGAAGAAAGTCTTTCTTTAGAATAGACTAAGTAGAATAGTTGATAGTACACTAAATCTGATGTTTGGATTAGATAGCTTGTGCAAGAATAGAATCTTTCATTTAGCTTGAATGTGCTTTAATGAGATATTCTGTAGGTGATTGGGTCCTTTGTTTTAAATACAAGGCTCCAAATGGTGGAATTGGCTTTGATCCCTACTGCCCCTGCTCCCTTCTGAGTCAGGTCTCCTTTGGCCAACACAGCAAGATGGGAGACTACTTGTGGAATGGCTATTATTGTGAAGCATGGCAAGAATGATGTCTCTGACCCAATGTGTGAAGTGGCCTCCCAAACAAATGTCATTTTGATAACACAAGGCTGATTTATAGCATGCTGCACTGCTTTGTCTTGCTCAGGATCAGAGTGCCAATTTGTAAGCCCACAAGGCATTTTGATTGAAGCTGATCTAGCAGACAAACGCCATAGGAAAGGGGACAGGAAGGTAAAATGCCTTTTTCTCTCCATGGACAAAGAGAGGAATAAAATCCCATTGTCCTGAATCACCGTCCCCTGTTCCGCCTCAAGACTGCTCTGCTGGAATCCGCTCCCTTGATATAGCCCACGTCATAAATCTCAGGTCTGACTGACTTTGCTCATCCCCTTTCTCCTCTCTTGGGCTGGTCAAATCACACAGGGGGGAGGTTAATTCATCTTCCACAGTGGGAAACTGCACAAGATTCCCAAGTGCTTGCACTTTCAGCAGCTCCCTAGATAGTCATTCCTGCCCTGTACCAATGTCACTGACTCCAGGGTTTTTCTGCTCATTCTCTAATCCTCTTTAATCACATAGGGCAGTGTGAGGTGGCATTCAGCATCTTAGCTTGTTTTACTTATTAGCCTTTCGTGCTTGATTCAGATATTTTGAAGTTATGCAGAGACCTTAAATGTTTTGATGACTTGGAAAGAGAGCAAGACATGCAATTAAGTGCAACAGATCCATTCCTGTGACGGAGGACCTTTTAGTTTGCCCAGCCAGGAACTGTGTAATTCAAGCAGCTCAACAAATTAATACCTCATTGATGACTTCTGTGGTCTGGGGGTGTATTAACTAAAAGCTGCTGTGCACGTCAACAGGAAAAGAAGTATGTTTTCATCGAATAGCAGAGAGCTTGCAAAGTTGGAGGCTGGTAATTGAAATGTAAACACTGAATTACAGTCATCCACTCTTGGGAGGAATGCGTATGAGAAGGGAAACTCAAGTAGTCTTACTCTAACCTAAGAGGATTTCAGCTAGATTGGAAAAAGGCAGTACAATGTTCCTGAAATGGTACTGTTCAGCACCTTCCCCAGGGCAGAAGGAAAATGCTGTTTATGTCCCTTTCCCACATAAAGGGAGATACACCCCCCCCGCTATTTGGAGTTTGACAAGTTCTGGTTGAATCCAATGCTGACGTCTCTGAAGTATGGCTTATAGGGACGGTCCAGCAGCTGGAGCACTATGTGGTTAAAAGATGATTCTCTGTAGATGTTCAGCTGCAGGACAGAATAACCTCTCTGACTTCTGGAAAGAACTGCCAAGGCAGGGGATCAAAACGTGTTGGTGTTTTCTGGTTGGGGAGAGTTCACTGGTGTTGGTATTACTAACACCTATTATAGAGTGGGGAGTCTGTGAGTCTCTAAGGGCAGTTCTAGGATCCTGCTAGGTATCTCCTGTAATTGCTCAGTGTGCTGTCCGGTTTTCCTTTCTGTTTCATGGCCTATAGGTTCCATGGCGATAATTCCCTTTTGGAAATGCTGCATGTTGGTATTTACAGAGGGGAAGAAAACCCCCAAACCCCCAAATTCTTTGATCTTCCTATGTAAATGAGGAACTTTTTTTTTTTTTTTTTCCTACTTCTGTCTACCTGTAATGGGAAAGAGTTCCGCTTCTTCCCTCCCCAGTTAGAATCTGTGCTTTTATGACTTACAGGTTTTGATTTTTAATTCTAAATCGGTGCTGCTGTCAGGAAGTAGAAATGTGGTGTAGCCGATCTCAGGTGTCAGGCAGCTGTTATGTCAGTGGGTAATGCAAAAGCAAGGATGATTTTAAACTTAACATAAATAACGGAGGGCTCACAATTCTGCTAGCATTTGGCCCTTAAACACTCTAGACTTCAGTCTCTCTGTACCAGCTGGCAAAGAGAAACAGATCAGGAGTGCAGGCACGTTTGCATTCGCCACCATTACTGGATGATGAATAAGGTGTCAGGTGAGGTTGTTTACTTGGAAAGGAAATTGGAGGAAAGCAACCCTATAAGAGGAGACAGTCCTTCAGGAGGAAGACAGTTGCTGAAGGAGCACAAAGCTGCCATTAATTCTTTGCAAAGTATTATTTATGTGAGTTAGATTTTTTGACAGAAAAACTTACGTTTAAGTCGTAATATAAAAACATTCCAGATACTGGTAATTGGATAAACATCTATTGGGGGGTGGGGAGGGGAGGTAATCGATGAACAGTATTTTCTTGTTTATATTGATCTCCATCAAAAGTGTATTTTTGCCACAAGCAAATTTTCTCTTGACTGAGGCACAACAAATCACATAAATTATTTGGTAGTAGGAAAAGATAAAAAAAAAATCAAATATCATGAAGGGAGAAGCTTGCTATTCCAGGATTTTTTTTTCTTCTGAAACCAGATTGAAACAATTTTCATGTAAGAATTAGAGCTGACCTATCTCTTCGTGTAAAAACTGAAATCTGTGGAGGGTTATATGGTCTGGATGCTTTGCTATAATATCCTCTTTTTAAATGTGGTCTAACTAAAATTACAGCCCTACTAAAATAAACGTAAAAGAAGAATTTTTCTACCCTTTCAGAAACTTTTTGTTTTTCTTGGCATGAGGAAACTTTGATAATTACATTGAGTTATGTTGTATTTAATGTTAGAAATGTTAAGTTCTTCCTGAGCAGGTTGTGTATCCCTCCTTAAAGAACAGATGTTTATACAAGAACTAGAATTATCTCCTGAGAGGTTGTTTGGATCAGTGCAATTAGAAACCCATTGCATACACAGAGAGCTAAGTCTCATGTTCACTGGATAGTTGTTTTAATGCATTGGTAATGAGCAAATCTGAAACCATTTATTATTGCCAGGATAGTTTCAGAGCGCCGTGACTGACAGTTGGGAGTTGCTGAGCTGATTACCTGGAGCATTAATGCATTGCTGTTCCTTAACCCAACCTTGGCACTAAACCAGAGTAGTATTGCTATTTCATAAGATACGCTTCTGATAGCAAAACATCTTGAATACAGATGAATAGCACAGAAATGAGAAACGCAGTCTGAGTCAGATGCTCAGCCACCGCAAATTGGCCCCACTGGGCCGAGGACGTGTGCTGCAGTTTTACCTTGTTCCTTTGAGAGCTTCCCACTGGACAGGTGCAGATGAGGAAAGCAGTCTTCTCACACTGTAGGTTGTAGATGAAAAGCATCAAAATGTTCACCCTACATATTTTTAAGCCAGAGGCCTGGGAAGCCTAGGTGGTTGCTGCTGCTCCCAGGTGCAAAAGTACTGTTTAAATGGGCGATAACTGTGACTGCACCCTATCTCTCCAGTTCCTTCTGAAGCAGCCCACTAAGGCAACATCTCTGTCTCAGCCCTTTCTCTTTTCTCCTGCTGTTCAGTTTGTGTCACAGAAGTAGCCCTGCACAGCCTGGTTTCTGTAACCTTTCACTATGTGAGAGGAAGCCTAGATCCAAACCTGGCTGCTTACATGAACACAGGAACGGCTCCAGGGCTTCAGGAGTGCAACCCAGTTGAGACACTGTGTCTAAATCCATGATGATCCCTACACAGCATGGACCGCTCTTCTACTTGTTTGGCTCCATGGTTTTCTCCTCATAGCAGATGCTCTTTCAGTCACCTGTGAATCAGTAGTACAAGCTCCAACAGCAGTATGAATGATAGGGACAACCTTCAACATATTTCTTCCTTGACAAGGCAGTTGTGAAGTTTTCATTAGTTCTAGACACAACAGAAAAAAATATCAAAGGTTTTTACCATTCAGGAGATTAATTGTACCTCATAGGGACCAGCATTGAGCTTTACCTAAGCTCATCCAGGCAGAAAATGAACAAAACCTGCTATGCTTGTTGCGGGAACCAAACCCTAACAGAAACAACTCTATCATATCAAGGAACCATTGATAAAGAGTTGTGCAGACTAAACCTTATCAAGACAGATACAATTCTTGTAAATACTAATCTATTTCACTCGGATGCAAGAACATCTGGTGCTTTGTAACTTTTAGGATGAAGTAATTGAAATCCTATAGTGCAGGCTAAACAGGAAACCAATTTTCAAGCAGACTTTAGCAGTGAAAGAGGCACCCATTTTACTGCTTTTAATTTAGAGGTTGGGTAACCAGAAGAAATGCAAAAAATGTAGTATTTTTTTCACTGCAACTTTTATCCTCTGTAATTGAAATATACCTGCCTGTAGCATGTGTTTCCGTATCTGCCAAGCAGGCAAAAATGGGATTTTCAGAAAGTATTAGAGGAACAAGGCAGAGAATCACAGAATGGTTTGACTTGGAAAGGACTATGATATCATCTAGTTCCAGCCTCCTGGCATGGGCAGGGACAAGTTCCACATTGCTCAAGGGCATGTCCAGCCTGACCTTGAACACTGTTTGGGCAATTGCACTGGGAACAAAGTAGATGCTGAACTCTTCCTGAAAATCAAAAGGAGCAAGGCATTTAGGTCTATTTGTGGCAAAGAATACCCTCCTTAATGATATATTCAATCTTCAGGTCTCATTCACACAGAGTTGGGGTGGATGTTTTCCTCATGTGTTGTGTTTTTAAACCTATGTCCTTCAAAAGAAGGCACCTGGGATGGAAAGGGAATGCATGTTACTGTATCCAGCAAGGGACTTGGGTAATGAGAACTGGACTGGCAGCCTTCAGACATACTCATGTCCAATAAAAGGCATGGGGAGAGCTTCGTGTTTGAGAAGAATGTTAGTTCTATTCCAAATTAGATAGTAAAAAGAGGTGGCATGAATTGTGAGCTTGTTCCAGATTCAAAGTAAAAAATCAAAAGCTGCCTTACAGCACTCTTTCTTGGTAGCTATTTCTGTTCTGTTGGACTGAATGTGCTTTTCTTGCTACCCCACTTAGTTGTGTGTGTTTTGTTTTTGCTGACAAACCTGCACATTTAGGATGAAAACAGTTTGCAGCTGATTAAGGATGGTGTGCCTGGCAATTTCTTGCTAATCTCTCTTACTGTGCACTTTGTAAAAATGACAGTCATGGTATAAATCCTAGTTTAAATCAATACCTGCAAGTGCTAATCTCTGAAGAGGAAAATGTCAAATACCTCCTGCTGTATGCAAGGACTCAAATTGTATGGCATCAAACATTAAAGGCTACCTAAATTGTTCACCTTTTTTGTCCTTTGCCCAGTGCTTTGTACTCCCTTTTCTAGCGTTCTTTATGCCATTAACCATTCTGACATAAACGGTGGCTTAGTGCTGGTGGGTGTCATGGGGTGACTTACAGAGCAACAATGTGTGCCAAAGACACCAAGCTGTGTGGTTCGGTTGATACGCTGGAGGGAAGGAATGCCATCCAGAGGGACCTTGACAGGCTTGTGAGGTGGGCTGCTGCCAACCTCATGAAGTTTAACCATGCCAAGTGCAAGGTCCTCCGCGTGGGTCGAGGCAATCCCAAGCACAGGCTGGGCAGAGGATGGATTGGGAGCAGCCCCGAGGAGGACTTGGGGGTGTTGGTCAGTGAGAAACTGAGCATGAGCTGGCTCCAGTGTGCGCTTCAGCCCAGAACCCAACTGTGTCCTGGGCTGCATCAAAAGAAGCGTGACCAGCAGGTCGAAGGAGGTGATCCTGCCCCTTTACTCTGCTCTCGTGAGACCCCACCTGCATTTAGCTCTGAGGCCCGCAACACAAGAGGGATGTGGACCTGTTCAGGTGAGTCCACAAGAGGAGGCCACAAAGCAGCTCCAAGCGCTGGAGCACCTCCCCTCTGAAGACAGGCTGAGGGAGCTGGGCTTGTTCAGCCTGGAGAATAGAAGGCTCCAGGGCAACCTTAGAGCAGCTTGCAGTGCCTTAAGGGGGCCTACAAGAAAGTTAGAGAGGGACTTTTTACAGGAGCCTGTAATGACAGGACAAGGGGCAATGGCTTTAAACTGACACAGGGGAGACTGAGATTAGATATTAGGCAGAAACTCTTCCCTGTGAGGGTGCTGCGGCGCTGGCACAGGGTGCCCAGAGAAGCTGTGGCTGCCCCATCCCTGGCAGTGTTCAAGGCCAGGCTGGACGGGGCTTGGAGCAACCTGCTCTAGTGGAAGGTTCCCCTGCCTGTGGCAGGGAATTGGAACTGGATGAGCTTTAAGGTCTTTTCCAATCAAGCCATTCTGTGATTCTCATTTCTGGCCCTGTGGTGGAGCCACTGGTGGTCCTTGCTCCTGTGCAGGCACTGGTTTGAACAGTGCCTTCAGCTCCCGAAGTCAACCTTCTTCCTCACTGCTGGGATGTCTTCTGAGAAGTGTTTATAAAAGCTCTGTTAGCTGCACATTTAAGCTCAATGTAGCAGTTACGGTAACTGGCGCTGGGAATCCTGGGACCAAAATGAGTAGTACATTTAGTCTCTATTTTTACCCCCAAGTCCCAGATTTGAACACTTTCAGTCAGCATCCTGCCCCACACCCATGGATGCTTTCCTTGCTCATTAACATTAAGACACACAGTGATTTTAAAAGCCTGCTCTTTGCTCAAAACTGCCAGTGGGGAAAGCAAATACATAAACTCTAAGACTGAAAGGTCGCTTAGAAATGGGTACATAGTGTGGTTCAACGTAGAAGGCTTTACCTGCCCACTCTGCATCAGTTCCATCTCTGCAGAAGTATGTGCTCTGTTTTTTAAATGAAAGTTATTGCTTAGACCATATTAGCTCGTAAAACTATTTCAGAGTGTGGAGAGAATTTCTGCTCTTGCTGACGTCTTTGGTCCTCTTGAAAGGCAAGCTGTACCTTTGGGATCCTGATTCCAGGAAGGACTTGAAATTATAGCTTTTTTTCATGTTTGATATTAACAAACTGATAAGGACAAACTCTCTATATAATTTCTACAACATTTAGCAAATTGGTTTTTTTTTTTTAAAGGTGCATGGCTGGATTTTGTTTGTCACTGCACTAGTTCTGTTGCTAAAATACCAAGCCAAATTGCAAAAATCCTCAATCTCTTTTCATTATATCCTTAGCTAAAAGCACCACTGATAATATCTCAGCCCAAGGAGGAGCCATGGACTCTGTGTCATTAGCATCTTCACGTATGTCCAAGTGCTCTGTTCCTTAGTTTCAGACAGCTGCTTCTGAAACATATTCTAGAAGCTCTCCAAATACAAGCAGCAGAGTGTGTGTCAGGCAGAAGTACTTAGAGCTGAGGGATCCCTGCAATCTTGAGAAACAAATTAGCAAAGTATTAACAGATCAGAGTCTGCAGCTGCGCTGGATGAAAGGCTTCCTAGGAACAGACACCCACGTTTTGGTTGTGTTCCCTTAGTTCTGGAACAGCACGAGAGAGGGGTAACTGTTAGAAGGGCACAGTATTTCCAAATGGACAGTTGCAGATGCCCCAGGAACGATCAGGTCTGTGGAACTGACTCTTACAGAGGAGTTGTGAGCTGAGGAGAGCAGTTCTTAGAGGAGAATCTCTGTTCTGAGGATATTTCTTTGTGGTTTCCAAAAAAAGCTGCTTTCAACTGCCATCTTTGAGGAAGTGCTCTTGGATTGTGCATGCTCACGTTGGTCTCCTGTAAAAACAGTCCGAAAGGCTATATCCAACTGCCAGTGCCTTTTCACAGCTCTGCAGCTTTGAGGACTGCCACTTTTCTGTCATTTCACAAAAAAAGATGTAGTTTTCTGGTTTATGGCAACTGTTGGAAGCCAGGAGCAAATAAAGTGTTGGAGAAATAACACAGGCTTATAGTAGTAAATTTGCACCTTTATATCTAAGACAGCTAGTGCCAAATTCTCTTCACATAAACAGTCCTGCTGGGGAGCGCCAGGTTTGTGTGAAAGCATATTTTGGGGCACAGGCTGCTTTAGAAATGTTTACTACCAAATAAAATCAGTGCAGAATTGCAGTCTGTGCTGCCTCTGTTGCAGGTAAAATTTCTGCTGACCTCAGTAGGAGCTGTGCTGTCTGAACAGGCTGAGGCAGCACCTTTCTTTTTCCTGGAATGAGGTGATTGATCCATTTTAAGGGATGGGAGCATTTCACACCTCAACATTTTCATATTGTGACAAAGATTAAATATAATTCAAGGCACCTGTGAGGAATTTGTGTGGTGAATCTAGTAGGCGGCTTGAGCCTTACTGTGGTTCCAGGAAACAGCATGATAAATCAACACCAGTTGGTTTGTTTGCAGAGGCTTAAAGGCACACTGTAATGGTGCTGTCCTGAAAAGGTGCTGCATTCCAGCCCCTAGTGATGTGCAGAGTCTGCACTGGCTGATTATTCAGAGCTGGTTTCAGGTGCTTTGCAAGATGCAAAGTCAAATATTAGTATCGATACGGAGATGAACATTTAGGCTATTGGACAACTGTACCAGAAACGCAGGCTGTTGCAGGGAAGCCACCTGGAACGAGGCAGAAAGGAGGCAGTGGGTTTGCTGTGACAAAGTACATGTTGTTTGCGTATCTGCTCAGCTTTCTTATTTCTCATAGCAGTTTCTCATACTGTTTTGTTTGGTCTTTGCACATATCTTGGCCCTATCTCTTCTCTATGTCTCTCTTCTTTCATGCAATTTTTCTGTCATATATTGCTTTTGCTTTATTTTATCTTTCTCTTCTTTCTTTCCTCCATCTTCGTCGGCATTTCTATTGCTTTCTTTCCTTGCTTTTTCTTTACCTAAGTCTCATGCACACTTTCTCTTTAGCCTCCTTACTTTACCACTCTTCATACATTACTTTCATCTCTACATTTTCCTGGGCAGCACGCAAGGGACGACTGGTAGGACGTAATCACCTTGGCCATATCCAAAGGGGAACAGTGCTGCAGCTTCTTCAGACCTTAAAACCATTGCAATCCTCCAGGTACCACTTGGCTCCAAAAAAGGAGAGGACCAGCACATGATTCCTCTTGTGCTGATCCAGGTAGTGTTGTGAAGGGGAGGTGCAGCTCAGTTATTTCTTCAGGGAAGCTCCCAGACTGCTATTCCTTCCCAGTGAGGCCCTCTAGGTACAGTAACAACCTGAGCCACCATATTCAGATCAAGGCCTCACCTTTAGGCCCCCTTTACTGTTGTCTAGAGAAGTTAAGATCAAGACATATATTTGGGGATGTTTTCCCCCAGTCTAAAGTAATCAGAACTGGTAAAGTTCCCTACAAAAGGCGCAAGCATTATCCTACCAGAGGGGTATGTACTACAGAACGTGACTTAGGAACAAAGGGGTAGCACACTGTACTGGAAATCCTCTCTGCCTTTGGGAGGGTTTCTGTACTCAAAAAATCAGCTGCCATGTTTGGCATTTGCTCAACTCATAGAACTTAGTTATTGGCTTGTATCATGGGCTTGTGATTTATCCATTAGCTACCCAGCCCTGCTGATAGATTTTTCGTAAATCTGTCACCCTTTGATTAAATGCTCCGTGTTAGCTCTTTGCCTTTCTTCAGAGCAGATCTTTTAATTGTGATAGGGGAAACACAAAGTTTGACAATATTTTGTTTGCAATTTCACAAGGGGAAATGAAACTTCCATGCAGATTATTTCACATACACGTGTATGTTTCTTGGGGAAGAAGGAAAGAGGGAACCTTATGAGCCCTGCCTTATCTTCTTTTAAAAGAAGCATTGGAAGCACGGTATATACCAAGAGGTGCCTTGGTATAAAGAACTGGGAGTGTTTGACCAGGTTAGCAGTTCCAACCCCTTCTTGCTGAATGCATCACATTACAGCCTTTTCCATAAGCTTCATAAGGTGTATCTTAAAACCTATTTCCCACCTACTACCTATAAGACCTCACTCCTTTAATGCTTTTCTTTTAATTCTTGATCTTTTAATTTTCAGTATAATCTTGCTTCAGTATGGATTATTAATGCTCATTTGTTTTTATAAGAATACTGCACCAGTCTTAAGTGTTCCTTCCTTGTCAGTGCTTTCCCCTAGATACTGTTTCTTTTTGTGATTTGGGGGCTTTTCAGAGCATCCCCATCCCTTCTCTTGTGTTGCTTTGGATGGAATAAACCCCGCTGGAGTTTGAAGCCTTTGGGCAGGCTCTTGGTTCCCATGACTGTCCTTGTTGGGTTTTTTTTTTGCTTTGGAAAGCCTGCAGCAGTTTCAGTCTTTTCATGAATCTGAGTAACCAGAGTCGTTCCCATTATTCCACATATTCCCAGTGCAGCTCATCAAATTCTTGACTAAAGAGAGACTGTGCTTTTGTCAGAAATGTTAGGTAACTAATAATGCCCATTGATTATCAGCAGAAAGTTAATGAATACTTCAGTTTCAGATGGTCTTTCACTTTAATCTTGCAGCAAATACTGATTTTAAGATACTGTTTCCTTTAGATATGAGTAGTTCATATTATAACTATGCGTTCCTTCTAGAAGGCATTTTCCCTTCTAGCATTTGACTGAATTTACTTTGTATGTTCAGTAAATTACAATTCAGATCTGATATCTTTGCCAACTCCTTGGAGGTCAAGAAAAGTGCAATAAGCCCCTGTGCCTATAGCCACAAAGCCATCCTTCTACCCTGCTGTTGTAACCGCCAGCTCACAGCCCACTGCTGCTTTGATTTCCTGGTGACCTTTCATTTCAGTGCTCAGCCCTGTTGAGACTCTCATGAGGGATGCTACAGAAAGGAATGGAATTGCTTCCCAAGCAGAGAAATGCCAGACCTTGAACAGGCAGCCAGAGAGGGCAGGGGATAAATTACTCTGAGAATGGTCTGTTCTTGAGAAGGAAAAGCTTGTTTCTCTGCAGGAAAGTTGGAGTCCCTATGGGCTCCAGTCAGTTGCTTCTGGAGGGAACAAACGTAGGGAGGGGTTTGCATTTCCTCATCTTTCATGGAAATGTTCCAATATTGGGTGCCTAATTTATGTAAGTGCCCCCATTGTGTAGGTGAGGGGTAGATCTGAGAGGGAATTCAGTCTCTGAATTCATGTACTTGAACCACAGAGCTCACTTTCCCCTTGAGGTCATGCTATCATCACACAGGTTTTCCTTTTTAAGTCTTATTGTCAGCAGCATCATCTGCCATGTATATGTGGGAAGTTTTATTAAGGTGACTAATATAAGTAATAGCAATCACTGTTCATTTTTAAGATTATTATCAGACTACTTAATTATTCCTCAATGGCTTACTGGGTATACTCAGCCCATGTCTATACAGCAGCGTCAAGCTGTGATAGTCACCTGATAGTCATGGTGATTCAATGTGTGTTTTTCAAAGTACATACAAATGAATGATATTGGTCCATCTGTACTGGGCTATTTCAGGAAGAAATTATACTTGCAAGATAGGTGGACTGGAAATGAGATATTAATCAGGGGCTGGCGTTTGCTGGATTTGACAGAAGAGAAAACCAAACCAACTGACCAACCAAATTTCCCCAGACTCTTCATGAAGAAGGGGCTGTTTGCTGGCTGGGCCTGTCAGGGATTTGCTTCGGAAAACAAGAGAGAGAAGGACTGTTGCATCAGGACATCAGTGGTATCTCCTGGTACACCAACACTGTGCCATATACCTTGGGCTGAGATCACAGCACACAGCTCTTCGTGCTCCCGCTAAATGGGGCAGGAACTGATTTGTAGCCATTTTCCTGAGAGCCAGTATATGGGAATTTTACTGATTTTATCTAAACTGTTTCTAAACTGGTTCAGCTAAACAGCTAAATTTTTCTTTCCTGTTATTTTTTCCCGTGTGTACTCAAGGCCTTTGCAGATTAAAGATAATAGTTACCATTACTGCTAGGATGCTTTCATTCCTAGAGCTCAAGTGCTTTGCACGGATGAGTAAGTGTTATCAATCTGACTGAACAGTTACACATGCCTAATTACAAAGACATGAAGCAATTGTTGAAGAGCCTAGTGAATGACACTTGGGCTGTGCAGGCTCAGAGAGCAGGGAAAGATTCCTTGACCTACTTCTGTGAGGAGCTCTCTTGCTTCTTGGGGCTGGAAAATGGTCGTGTGTATGTTTATTAGAGTGAGATGAACTGTAAGGAGGAGTGTAAAGGGAATAAAGGTTGTTTCGTAACAATTCTTGCACTTTTGGAAATTAGCTCTGTATAGTATTAAAAGTGAAAATAACTATTTGTTCTTTTCATCTGTTGAAAAGCACTCTGTATTTGCCCTAAGATGGTTTGAAAGGAGCTGGAATGGCCATGTAGTTCTCCTAAAACTGAGTGATGTGGCTGCTATAAATCATCTCATTCCTAGGATAAAATCTGTTGATGATGAGCACTGCTGGTCATAGAACTGTTCTGACCTCTTGGCATTGATCTGAGCTGAGGAAAACAGGAAGGGTCATTGCTGCTGACTTAATGAAGTTGATTTGTTGAAGCAGAGGCAAACACAAATCAGCTTGTCAAATCAGTAA